TCCTCCTATGTTGAATTGCATAATCCAAAGCAATCAAATCAACACAAACTTGTAGATTGGTCCATTGTGAGGGTACAAGCAAGCACTTGTAGTGTTTATTGTACGAGAAAGCCTACATTTACAGAAGGAAAACCCCACACAAATTACACAAATAGGTGGGCCCTATTTTTTTTTTTGCAATATTCAATTCACATGGGGCCCACCTCATGTGAGTATCTGTTCATTTTCTATCTGATTTTTTCTGCTTGTACAGAAAAAATCTTATTGTACCTCCACACCCCTTTATTACCATTAAATTCTTTCATGTGAAATACAATAGCAAGATTAGGGTATCGGTGCCTTGGGGACATGTTTCATTAATTGCTCAATCCCTATGAATATCCTAGCTATTTTTTTTAGTTTTCTAGTATTCTAATTTGCATTCTTGGAGTGTCCTTTGTTTGGTTTAAGGGTTAAATAACAAAAGTGTAATTAAAAAAGGATAAAAGATATTCCAAAAGTTCAAGCTTACATGCATCGTTAAATGTAATTATCACACTTCCAATCTCCTCACCTAATTTTTTTTTACAAGAGTATCAGATAGTGTACTAAAAGTAGCATGCATTTTGCTCACATTATTTTGGATCTAGGATACTCAATACAAAAGCAAGAGTCACACGCGACCAGGGGCGCGATGCGAAGAGTGGAGGGAGTGGAATGAAACATGACTAAATGCTTTTGGGTAAGTTGACCCTCGATGCATACATGTGATCACCTTTTTTTTTTTTTTACAAGTGCCTACAAAATAAACAAGTATCAGATAGTGTACTCGAAGTAGCATGCATTTTGCTCACATTATTTTGGATCTAGGATACTCAATACAAAAGCAAGAGTCACACGCGACCAGGGGCGCGATGCGAAGAGTGGAGGGAGTGGAATGAAACATGACTAAATGCATTTGGGTAAGTCGAGCCTCGGTGCATACATGTGATGCATGTTTGGTGACTACTAAGTAGCCCCTATTTGGTTTAAATAAAAATTAGTTTTTTAATAAATTTTGATCAAAATTGTGAGTTTTATGAAATATGTTATATGTGATTGAAAATAAATTTGAAAAAAAAAAATTTAAAAATGAAGATCATACACGAGTTTAATAAAACTGTACACAACTACATATATAGATTTTACTTTACTTTTCTTAATTATTTTCAATATCACACGGTCTAATATATCGACAACGCTAATAAAATAAAATTAATTTATCCGTTAAGTAAGATAAATTAGATAGTCACTTGATAATTTAAAAAAAAAAAAAAAACATATTCATAATTATGTCCAATTCAATTTAATACACCTACCAAGCACATTAGCCATTAGGTATGTATCAAAAATGGTGCACATGTAAAATTACCAAAGTGATGGCACTGAGTCAACCCAATAAGCAAAAAAAAAAAAAGCCAGCAAAGAAGTTTGTTGGGCATTGCTCTTATTCTTGGTCTTATTCCTTTCGTGGCAAAAAGACTGATATGTTGGCAAACAAACACCTGACATGCGGGATGCGTAATTCTTCATTTTTATAAGAAATTTCATTGCCTACTGGGATCCACGCACAAACCCAAAGAAGTGATTTTTTGAATTATCATCATCAATCAGATGGACGATAAGATCGAATTTCAAGATCAATATAGTATCACTACCTATATATTAAGTTTAAATGAACAATTCGATCATACTCAACATGTATGGTATAAAGTAGTTCTCTCGACAAAATCGACATTTTTGTTAAGATCTGGGGTTCCATTTAAAAATGTCAACTTTACTAAGAGGAGTAACTCAATTCTTTATTAGTTGATTTATGTTTCACATCTTTATTCGATGTGAGATTCTATCCCTTGACATACCCCCGTAAGATGTTGGCTCGTTTGAGCAGATCAATCTTAAAATTCGTATGCTCACTTTTGGAGTCTTAACCGGATCAAATTGCTCGTTAGAGTTTAATGGGCTCTGATATCATATTAAGATTTAGGGTTCCATCTTAAAATGTCAACTTTATTAAAAGGAGTAACACAATTCTTTATAAGTTGGTTTATGTTTTACATCTTTATTCGATGTGTGATTCTATCCCTCGACACTTTTAAGATAGAACTTAAAACTAAGTATCAGTCATGTCGTTCCCTTTTTCCTCTCCTCCATGCTAGTACGACACGCCACAAGAGCTCCTGAGTAGAAATCCGGGACGTGCATGTTTGGTGATTAGTAATAAACAAAACTATACAAGATAATTTTGACATTTTTTTGGCTTATTTTTCTTTGATACTGCATGGTCTAATGTATCAAAATTTAAAGATGAATTAGAGAGTCCTTGCAATATTATATATGTTTTAAAAAAAAAATTGGGGTTATGCTATTTTGTTAGAAATAATTGACAAATGCAGTTACAGATGAAGTGGTGGTAGCAGATGATTGAATGGAAAAATTGATTATGTTTTAAACGGACCAATAATAAAATGTCATGTGTCATTATGTTAACTTTTTTGACACTGTAGCATGATTTCAAAACCGAAAATCTTGTTCATAATACTGTTCGGTGCAATTTGATACGCAAACCAAGCACATTATGTAAAAACCAGCAAAGACTAGCTAAGCTATCGGCGCCTTCCAACGGGTTTCATTAATGACTATTTCAAGTGCAGGCTATTTTGCAAGGTAATGAGAAGGTTACGATTTTGTCCCTTAATTTATTGTTGTTGGTGAGACAATAAATTATATGATATGGCAATTATCTTTTGTTAATTTTAAACTTAAACTTATGGTTGTTCTTGTTCCTTGCGTGTCGTTCTTGGGAGAGTTGAGGCCTACAATAAATTATAGATATAAAGACTTAAGTTAATCTTTGCAAGATTGACTTTTTTATGATAGAATTCAAGACTCATTATGGTATTCAAGCACTAGAAGCTCAATCCAATATGTCAAAAGTTCAAACGAGCAATCAAATTATAATTAGATTAATGTTCTGAAACGAGCTAACTTTCTTGAGAGCAAATTAAAGTTAAGCACTGGCTTGAGCCACATTAAAATTTTTATTTTCATTCTACTCATTTTCAACCACAAATTTTTCAATAAAATAATATATTTCATCACATCAATTATTTTTCCTTCTTTTTTAACCACGCATTCTCCATCAATCTACTATTCCAAAATAGATTCTTCCAAAATAATGTGGTATCGAATCAGGATGAAAATAATATTTAACATATAAGAATTTGAACTATTCTTTTTAACAAGATTGACCTTCTAATATAAACTTCAAGACTTTGTTACGGTCCTGCCTCTATCCTTTCCCTTCTCCATGCTATAAGGACTCCCCTAGTAGAAAGCCAACAACAATAAAGGGATAGAAGTCGCGGGGTACGCAACAATGAGGGAATGGGAAAATGTACGAGTATAAAGGTCTATATTGAGATTATGATAAATATAAAGACATATACTAAAAAACTTGTTAAAAGGAGTATTTTTTTAATTTTTCTCTCCAATGGCCCTTCCTATACAATGCTCTAACAAAACTACCCAAAAAGATATGCATCATAATCCCAAAAAATACTTTGCCATGATTTTTGTACCAAAAACTGGGAAGGAGAGGAAATTTCTGTATGGAATAGGGACTATGATATCAGATATGCATGGTTCTACTCTCAGTGCATATTTTATGCATAGATAATACTGAACAAACAAAAATTTTAACCTATTTTTCTTTCTTATTGAATTTGCGTTGAGTGCCTTTAGCAATCTTACTCACGACAAAAATATAGTAATGTATAATGAAATGCATATCATTACACACTCAAGCATGCTATTCATCTCTAATAGATATCATGAGCAGTCTATGTGGAAGTGGAGATAAATGACATTACTCATAATACTAACAAGATATTATTTATATGGTATGACATATGTGGGAAAACTAGCATACTCGGAAAAGGATAGAGTGATGAGGATTCTACTAATTATATGACAATGAGCATAAAGAGAATGGGTGAGATATGGCATTGTCTTTTCTTCTTTCTTTTACCTTCTAGAGCTCCCAAACTCTTGGCTAAGATGGTTTGTCTTAAAAAGAAAAATCTTATCTATGTGGAAGGCAATTTTTTTTCTCTTTTTTCGGTTTTTGCTTGTGTAAATTATTTTAGCTTCCTAAAACTTCGAAGGGAGTCTTGTGAAGGATAATCTTTAGGCTCAAAAACTGTAGCCCTATTGTTTTTGCTCTTGTCCCACGTTTTTTTGTTGAAAGTATAACCTCTCATCACCCATTGTCTAGAATCTCTCTGTAGTTCGGACTCCATTCATTCAATGCACTTGCAGATAAAGCAAAAGAATCCAACTTCAACTCATTAAAGTGCAGTAAACAAAGAATTGGATCCTCTCTCTCTCTCTCTCTGCGGTGCTTGCTTAATCTTGACATTTACTGGTGTTGTTAAGACGTGGCAGTCTCTGTGGACTGATTTTATGTTTCCATCCTAAGTACTAAGAAGCCCTCAAGTTTGGGTGGGGGACTAGCTAGAGAAAGAGTAGACAGAAAGAGGCATAAGAAAGTGATATAGGGCAAGCGTATAACGGGACCAGATGGTGACCTTGATTAATTACTAATTTCATGCTCTTCTCACCTAAGTGCGTCTGAAATTTTGTTTATTATATTGTCTAGTCATATTAAATTCTATCTAAGAAATATGCACCAAGGTTCTTTGCTGCTAGTATTTATTAGTTGTGTCCGAAGTTGAACAGTGGAGTTTTACAAGGTCCTTGGTCTTTCTCTTCCATTTTTGAACACTGTCAACTAGTATCCCCTCTTAAGTGTTCTAAAAAATCCAAGACTAAATTTCATACTCATTTAGTTGCATCAAAAAAGGACTGAAAACTGTGTTTCTGTGTAGGTGCAAGAACTAATATATTAGGGACAGACTTTGGATCGATATTTGGCAGTTGGGACTTGGGAGAGAAGGAAGAAGAAGAAGGGGGCTTGAAACATGGAATGGAATGGTAATCTTAGAGTGCCTATAGTTTCTCTACCGGATCATTCTTTCAGCTTCCTCTACAACTATAATTATGATCAACTTCAAGGTAACAGAGGAGTTCTTTTCGCTGATGGGAAGCCCACTGTCAACTTATAGAATTTTTAAAATGTGTTTCTTGCATGAAGATGCTAGGCAAAAATTCACCAATTGAGCAACTCTTTTGTTGTGTTGTTTCTTTATCAGGTTTAGATATGAAGAACTCAATGCAGACACAAGTGCTCCCAACAGTGAAAAAGATGAACAATTATTGGTGCAGCCAAGAGAAGAAGAAAAGATTGAGCAGTGAGCAGTTGGAGTCATTGGAGAATAGTTTCCAAGAGGGGATTAAGCTGGATCCTGACCGGAAAATGAAGCTGGCCAAGGAACTAGGGCTGCAGCCACGACAAATTGCAGTATGGTTCCAGAATAGGAGGGCTCGGTGGAAGTCACAGCAGCTTGAGCGCTTGTACGATGCCCTTAAGCAGGAGTACGATGATGTATCTAGGGAGAAGCAGAAGCTACTAGAGGAGGTTGGTGTTCTTGCATTTCTTTCCACTTTCTAGTTTCTTCCCATGCATGCAAATATTATATTGAACTTGATCTCAAGATCGTTCTATCAGTTCTGTTTTTATTGATAGTTAATTGTTTGTTTATTTGAACTATAAGGTTGTGACATTGAGAGCAATACTCGAGGAACAAGTAACAAAGAAGCAAGTCTGCATAGGTTACAATGCAGAAGTTTCGGTAGAAAGCACTTCGATTCCGACCTCGTCTGATAATCCTAGAGGATCAAGCAGTACCCATCAGAACATCCCAGATCGGTCCAACTATGTTGTGAACGTAGATGGCTATGATCAGATCATGCCTCCATCTTGGAATGTTCTTCAGCCTTTTTGCCCTTGAATTTACTGCTAATGTTCATATATGAGTTCTATCTGCTTAGTTCATGGCTTCGACTCCAACTCCAACTCCAACTCCGTCCATATGTGTTTCTCTTGACCTTTAAGAGTTGATTTTAGAGGTTGATGTTGAAATTTAAATCATTAATTAGATTTATAGAGTGACTTCAGGGATTTATAGCGATCTTGCTTCATTAGAAGCCTCTTGTTGTTGTCGTTTTTGTTGTTTTTTATTACAACTTAATTTGAAGTCAAATGCGAACTTATAATTGCTAATCTTATGTGTTGAATTTTGTGCTAATTATTTGATCAATTCCGATCCATTCAAGAAATTTATCATGATTAGGGTGTAAAAGATTTTGCATTCAAAAGTTTTTCGTGTAAACAACACTTTTTTTAGTAAATAAGTTCATTTTTAGTGTCATGCTGTGTATACAAAATTAGTTGATAGAATTTGTGTTGGCAAGATCTAGGCCAATGATTTCAAAAACAATTTTTAAATCAATGGCCTATATCTTGCCATGCTCATTTTGTCAACAAATTTTGTACAAGTAGATTGTCGGTTATTTTTAACCTTGAAAAAGGACCGCCTTCACTGCCCTAATTCCCTTTTTACACTGAGCCACGTGAGTGTCTCGGGAGGCTCTCAAGTAGTATCTACTCGAGAAATAAGTATATATTAATAAAATGTACTCGATAACATAATTATTTAGAAAGTCGGCCTTCTTCTTCCTCTTCTTCTTCTTCTTAGTATTATTTTTATTTTTATTTTTATTTTTATGTCTCTCTAACTCGATAAAATTCTGAACAACAATTATGCAATCTTGGAGTTGTTTACACATAAACAAGTCTTCCCTAGTCAACTATATTATTTGGACACAGTAACGGATGCCATTGGACCCCATGGATTCGCTTACATAGCCCAACTCGCATGGGTCTCTTTTTTGGTTTTAAGTTGGTCCTAGAAGATTTGGGTTTTCAAACATGATTCAATTTAGTTCGATTTTAAAGAGAATCGATTTGAAGCGAACTGAATCGAACCGAATCGGGTCTAAATATATTTATGAAACCGAACGTTCAGTTCGATTTGGTTTGGTTTCTTTCGATTCAATATCATAATTAAATTTTTTAATATTTACAACATTACATTAATCCAACTTATAACATGTTCAATATGAAAGACATACTAAAAGAAATGTGAAAATATTCAATCAAAAAAAAGGTGAAAATAAAGAATACGGCAAGAAAAGTAGCTATGGAGAGAGGAAAACACGTTCACAATAAATATCCTGAACGCTAATTATAAATTATAATGTTTATACATTGAGCGTGAGAAATTAGAAACGAATGAGATGAAACTTATCTTGATCAAAGTGAAGAAAATTCAATATAGAGCAGAAAAATGCTCTCTATCATACATCAGATATTTTTTATAAATAAAAAATCTTTTGAAGATGATCTCAAAATTAGACTTTGAATCATTTGAAACTTCAAATCAAGTAAAAATAGCATGTAATTTTGACGTCCACCTGCACCAAATTTGTCACGTGTTTAAATAGATTAAAAATTCAGAGCCTCGATTTTTCATCAAACTTATTTACGCGATATTTTATTTGGATTAGAAAGGGAAAAAAATGGGAGCAAAAAAGTTAAAACCGATTTCCTCGAAACTAACCAGGTGGGATCATCCATGGCAGGATTTGAGTACTGAAAAATGGATAAGATTTTGCACTTAACATCAATTTCCCGACTGGATTTCGATTGCAAGGAAACTGAGCAGTTCTCACGACTATAGAGCCAGTGACAATCTAACCTGTGCCTTTACTATATGTATGTATAATAGAAAACACCACCTTTTGCTTCGAAAAGTTACAAGAAAAACATACAGATTGTCTGTCTAGCATTGATCCAGAAAAAAAATGTACAGTTTTCCTAAATTAACTACAATTCTCCTTTTTCTCCCCCAAGCATTTCGAGAATAAAGCCATCGGCAGATCATCGACCAGTCAAGAGTGCTTCACACCATGCAGTCGAATATTGAGTCTTCTGAGCCAGATGGAATGAAGTATCATGTGAAAAACGTCGTATCGTCTGGGAGGCGAATTAAACTCGAAATGTCTTCTCACTTGTATTCCTCGTCTTTGCATTCTTATATACTGTCTTGTAGAAATTCCAGTCAGAATTTTCTTCAGGTTTGGAATCTCCTCCACTGGAATTTCAACAGCAAATGATTTCCAGTTCAAGACATCACTGAATGGAGCAACGTAATGATCTTTAATAATCAGGGGAACGCAACCATTATATAGAGCCTCGACCATTCTTGGGCTGGCTACTTCATAACCACTAGGACAGATACAGTACTTGCTTTTTCTCATAATTTGCGAGTATGACACACTCTTTGGTAGGTACCTATGAATCTGAACATCTTCATCTTTGTTCTCCCAGTGCTCTAGAAGAATCGGCCTAATAGGGCCGTGAACTCCTCCAGCATAGAAAACCAAAATTGGTCGTCTTGATGGGGACGGACCCCCAATCAAGCCATTCATTCTACCACCTCGTAGATTAATCTCTGGAATTGACACGTCTTTTGAGGGGTCAAATCCTTCTGAGGTATTTGCATTGCATAATGCTCGAATCGAGTTCTTAAATAGCTCTAGAACGGACTTAGAAAGTTCTGGCCCCTAGTCAATGTGCAATTACTTTGGAATTAGGAAAACTCTCAAAACCTTATAAATTTATAGACAAAGAAAGGCCAATCATAGTAAAAGAGATGCAAATTTTGTTACCCAATCGTGGCAAGCAAGCATGAAATGATCGGCTCCAAGGCTACGATTCCAATAGGGATATTTCCCAGCTAGAAGATGAACGTAGTCACTGACTGTTTGTTTCATTGGACGCCAATGATCAGGAGCACCTCTATCATAAATAAAGTGAACTATGGATGCGACACTAAACGGGAGGAAGAAAATGTGCGCGTTTTCAGGATCCCTCGTCCTAAACTTGGAGATCTCCAAGCGATAAATAAAACCTCCCTCCGTGGAGTATATGCTTCCGCAAGGACCATTGTGAAAAATTGGGTGCTCTCCTTCTTCATACACAAATACCTTGAAGTGCTTTTCCATTTCCAAGTAACTCCTGATAGGAAAAGGGTGAGTGTTCATTGTCCTATTCAAATAAAGCAAATGGAAAGCCAAAAAAAAATATAAATCTCAACCACTAACTTTGTATGTAACAAACGTCTACCGAGTGATGAGGCAAATGTACCTGTGAAAGGCTTTCGGACTCCTGTACATTGGACCGTCTGGAACATAGTCCGGATCCTGACTTTGATTTCGCATATGCGCATCTCTAATAGCAGTTCGAGCTTGCTGAAGTTTGGCCTCAAGCCTCTCTAAATTGCTGAATTTTCTTATTATTCTCGAATTTAATGGCCGAGCATCAGTTTCATTAGAAATTGGTGAGGAGCGGGATCCATTAGGTGAAGTTTTTGGACTCTCTCCTTTCTCTACCTATATTAAAGTTGAAACATAGATTAAATACATCTTAACACAATCTTCGAAAACCATAGCTAAATGTTGGACGTGGTTATGAATAAAAACCAGGCCAATATGCAAATTATGCGCAAAATCCTGTTTTATTTAGATTTTAGTTATTTTCTAAGATGAGGCATAGACATAACAAATCTTAGTAGTACAAAAATATAAAAAATTCAAAAACAATTGGGAAAAAAGAAAGTGGTCCAATTCTTGAATCAACACCTAAGGAGAACTAGAAATTCAGACCGAACTTAGGGATGGCAAAAAAACTCGTTCAACCTGAAACTCGTGGGGCCCTACCCACCTAATCGGGTAAACGGGGTGGGGATGGGGCCAGATTCATTGTCTCGAAATGGGTATGGGAATCATAATCTCCGTCCCGCTATCCGTCCGGTTTAAAGTTAATTTTAAATTTAAGTTTTTTATCAAACAAAAATAATAGATTTATTATATTTTTAAAAAGAACATAAATTGTTTCTTACAAATTGGTAAAAAAAAAATATTTATTAAATAAAGACATAAAAAAAATACAATAAATAAATAAATAATAAGAATAAAAAAAATGGGGCGATAAATGCTGCAGGAGACCCGCCCCTCCCCGCTTTAAACAGGTATAGGGATGGGATAAGGTAACAAAAATATCCGATGAGACAGGGGTGAGAATTGTTGAGCCGTCCCATACCCGCCCTGTTATCATCCCTAACAACCATGTGCAGTTCTTAACTAAAGTTTTCGAATATTTGATCAAAAGTTTATGGCTTTATAAAAACATAGAAAGATATCGGATAAGAATTGTAACATTTTAGAGTTATCTATCATTATTTCCAAAAAAAAAAAAAAAATCTCAAATTCATTTTTAATTATACATTCTTACAAAAAAAAATATATTTTACACGTAAATTTAAAATATTTTTCTAATTTTTAACCACATATTCTCCAAAAATCAACTATTCTAGAACTCATTTTCAATGGGGGCTAAATTTCAACAAGAAAGAAAGAAGGCATAACAAAGTTTGTTAATGCCATGGACCATTGTGGTCCAGTTTTTTTGTAATTTTGTAATTAGTTATTTTATTGGTAATGATATTAATTTGACTTTATCAATTGGTTAAAAAAAGTATTTACTATTTAGTTTGACTTTTTCATATCAAAGATTAATACTTTATTTAATGGGAAATGAGGCAACTTGGAGTTCATTAATAATAGCATCCCACTAACTAATTTCAAGTTCTAAATTTGGATAATCAATACATTATACTTGATATTCATATGATTTTAATAAATAGACGATAATCAGTAAGCCCCTGTTTGGTATATATTCTTTCAAAATACATTATTTCAAAACTCATTTTTAATCATATTTTTCATCACATCAATAATTTTTCCTTACTTTTTAACCACATATTTCACACCGTGTCATTATTTAAACTACATTCTTTTCTCAATAATATCCATCAAACACACTTTTAAATTTGAAATCATTTTTTTCTAGTAAAATACAAAGTTATTTTCACAAAATTTCCTTTCCAACGTCATCGTTGATTATATACTAGAGTTCAAAGAACAAAAAGGGGCATTTTAAAAAATGTCCAAATAAATAAAAATAAAAAATAATATGCGGCGATAAATGGGACAGGGAACCCGCCCCGTCCCGCTTCGCTTAGAACCTGCCCCATATCACTTTAAACGTGTATGATGATGGTGTAAGCAACAAAAATATATGACGGGGTGGGAATAGTCGATTCGTTCCACACCCGTCCCGTTGTCATCCCTAATTGAACTTGTCAATTATTGACTAAAATGGATAGGTCGGTCCGAGCCCGAGCGCCAAGCATTTTGTATACTATTTCCATTATTTACTTCAAAATCTCAACTAATTCTTTATCGATCTTATTTAAAATTCTTAATCCCATGAATTTTTCTACTGCTTTATAATTCGGGTTTTCTTCTTCTTTAAAGGATGGAATTATTAAAATAAATAATGAATTAAACATATAAAAATAAAAATAAAAAATGAGAAGGAAACCAAAATGAAAAATGAGAAAAACAGTGTATCTTCTTACGGATTGTTCTTGAGCAGTACTTTCTCTCTCTTCAACTGCCAGTGGTGACGCAACATGCTGGTTTGGAACGTAGTCATCTGAATACGCTTCCTCTTTTTCTCCACCGTCACCCACTCTCCGCCGCAAATCCCAGCGCTCTCCTCCGTACATTGGATTCGCTACAGAATCATTACCTCCGTTGCTAGAATTCTCCAGAACCGGTTGACCACCAGCTATAGAAATCCACGCAGAAGGATAATAATTCCACGAAAGCAGTCCACCGNGCAGAAGGATAATAATTCCACGAAAGCAGTCCACCGGAGGACCCAGAACCGCCAAAAACCACCAGCAGCGACGCCGCAATTAATGGCACCATAAACCCCAACAGCCTTATTGAAGATGATGACGTGTTCCACCATGTACACACCCTTTTCTTGCACCCTTCCATTTCCGTTCAAGATATCTTTTTTTCAAATCACGGGAGTGTTCTAAATATCTGATTTGTTTCTTGACTACCAAAATCTGTTTTTCATTAATTTCACTTTCTTCTTCTCTCTCTTTAAATTTATGTTATTGACTGTGTGAATTTGTGCTGGAACATGGAGGAATAAAAGACTGTTGCACTGCACCGCGCCAACTCGCCAAGCGTGTACTGGTTTTGGCCTCTGTAAACTGTTCTTCATGCAAAAATGAATCTTTTTTTCCTAGTTAATATCGCCTCGACTCGAAGTCATAAATATTCTACCTTTTAATGTTTCATACACCGGACGCGTAACTAGAGAAGTTTATCGACTCGCTAGAGCTGAATTGACATCTGGAATAATAGTTCAACGTGTTAGTCGGATGGCGCGAGTAAAACAAATGTCACGTTGTGGCTTGTTTATTTTTATTTTTTATAAATTCTGAAAATCTCTAAAATTGAGGTAATAAATTTTAGGGATTCTTTGAATTGGGGTAATACTGCATTGTTTGATTAATTTGCCGCTTGTTGGTTCACACCTTGCCAATGCCAACGGTTACATAATTTAGAACTAGATTTTCTTTTTAAGTGTGTTTTTGAAGAAAAAAAAAAAAATGTGATTAATAGGTAACAAAAAAAAAATTATGAGTTGAATAAAATTTGTGATTATAATGATTTTGAGAATAAGTAATTTTCAATAAATATCTCTCAAGCAAGCTATTAAGTCAAAAATATTTGTTAACTCGTGTCAAATAAAACTAAGAGCTTGTTTGTGAGAGATTAAAATCAGATTAAAATTGAAAATATAGTCGTTATTGTTGACTTTTATTAGACGAGTGGGACCCAATAACGATCATATTTTCAATTTTAATTGAATTTTAATCCCTCCCAAA